ACACACAAACATTCATCCATCCATTCATCCATCCAGAAATGACGGTTTAATAAACGCAATTCTCCAGAAAGGAAATTGCGCTAAAAAGTTTAAGTAATTAAAAATCATGTCCATATCCCGAGTTGCCTTCTCCCGGAGTGCGATATAAGAATCTCCGTGTTTTTTTTAGGGGAGATCACTCATCCTGTTGTTGATAAATGTAACATTTTTTGAAAATATTAATTGAACAAAATGTGTTTTCTTTTCCCATCAGTAAATTTTACAGTTGGTGTCCCATTCGCACCCCCCCCCCCGCCAGAAGGTAGTTGTACTATGTGCACATTGAACAGTAACGATATTTATCTTTTGTCGATTATTAAAACAGCTGGATATATCAAAGTATTAACTACGGTTGGCAAATTTCCACCTCAACGATTGTACCTGTTCTTGTCACTTGTTAGCCTTGTATTGTCCCTGTTCTTGTCAGTTTTTATATTTGTATTGTCCTTTAGTTGCCAATTATTAGCCTTGTAGTTTCTCTGTTTTTGTCACTTTTTAGCCTTGTATTGTCCCTGTTCTTGCCATGTGTTAGCCTTGTATTGTCTTGTTCTTGTCACTTGTTAGCCTTGTGTTGTCGCTGTTTTTGTCACTCAAATTGTTAGCTTTGTATTGTCCTGTTTTTGAAACTTGTTAACCTTGTATTGTTCCTGTTCTTGTCACTTGTTCGCCTTGTATTGTCTTGTTTTTTTGTCACTTGTTAACCTTGTTTTGTGCCTTTTTTGTCACTTGTTAGCCTTGTATTATCCCTGTTTTTGTCAATTGTTAGCCTTGTAGTTGTAATAGACACATTTTTTCGCTTGTTATGATGACGTCCTACAGCCAGTTTTGGAGAGGAAAATTTCCTAAAATATATTTAAATTGTTTCTAATGGCTTGAAAACAGACTTGTTGAACAAAGTTGATTTCTATCAACATTGATAACAACCACACTACGCTCACAGGTAATGTAACTGTGGCTCACAACATTGTTTAAATTGTAAAAAGTTGTCTAATGTTAGAACAGCACATATAGTGAATACATACCAACATTGTTACATTACTTTTTTATAAATATCGCATATAATCATGCGAAGTTGTAAAGCGCGGTCCACTGTAATATTGATTTCAGCCTGACTTCGCTATGTAACAAGTTTAATTAAAATGTTTTAACCACACATTCTTTATTTAGTAAAGCGATATAATTCACTGTTTATTAAACTAAATTTAATTAGAAGAAGAATGTGTACAGATTTGTTCAGTTTTATAATCCAGCATTTGTTTGTGTTTATCTAGATGGATTTACTTAGATAAAGCAAGATAGGGATCTCATATGGTCGTATACATTGTTAGAACATATTGGTTTACAATTATTGTGTCTGATACATTCCAGCATTATTTAACGATACAAGTTAAGTTATTTGTGACCTTAAATTTCTAACAACACATTTTGTCTTTATAGTTGTCCACTCATTTTATATTTGAAACAATTAACACATAACCTGAATATTTATTAAGTGCCAGAACAATTGTCTCGAATTCGAATTCTGGGCGTATCGCAATCGAAGAATGAATCTGAACAAACGATTGATTTCAATGCATTCGACAACGATTATGTTAATTCTACTTGAACTACATTCTTTTTAACTTGATGTTCGAAAGGTTACTTAGCTTTTATTTAATACATCGCTGTTGGCCTTAAAAGACTACTCATTGTGCTGCTGTTCATTTAGCCTTCACCCAGAATACGCCACCTTACGCTGTTTTTTTGTGTTAAACTTTGTTAAAAAATATGCAGTTTTCAAGATAACGTCATTGTTTGCATTGTACATGTATGCATTACTTCGAGTTTAGTTGTCTATCTCATGCAGATGTATTACCAAGCCCCAAGCACAACACTTGATTAAACGTATACGCTAGCAGTTTTAAATCTTGCAAGGCCTCCTTCATACAGGTAGACTTTTAATTAATTTCAAGAGTAAAACAATTGGAGTTTGTTGTGGAAAACTAGTGCGTAGCACAACAAATAAGATACACAACACCATTTAGGTAACGAAGCCTATACTAAATGAAAGAAATATTCTTTTACAAGAATAATAATAAACTTCAATATCATATCTAAACTAAACACAAACTAAATATCATATTCTATTCTAAATAGTCTACAACATAACACAAAAGAAAATCCTAACTATAGAATACATTGGCAAACTAATATTCCACACATAAACTATGTAGATATAAGGTGCTATTTCACACTTACAATGGGACGGCGTGGCCTAGCGGTAGAAAGCTAGACGGCTAACCCAAATATCTCAACCTCGATTACTGATTCAAGTCAGTAGGATTTCCTGAGCCCCCCCCCCCCCCCCCCCCACCCCAACTGTGATTGGTACCTAACTCACAAAAACAAAGGCGGCTGGGCATCGTGCTGACGACCCTTTATATGCTGAGGTCTCTGAAACGGATTCTCTACTTCATCTGCCCAATGTGTCTTAGGAAAATATGGTGATGATGAATTTAGAATCACACCCTGCTGTACAATTTCATCACTGCGAATGACGCAACGTGAATCTATTACTGGAATTGAGATCAAGCATCTAAAAATAGACTATTGAATCGTTATATTTGGATAATGCTAATCAATACTACACTAGTCTGCCAATTATCTCACTTACGTGAGCGTTATAATGTTTATTATTTCCAGACGAATATTTCCTTAATGTAGATTACAGGAAATTCTTTTATGTGTTGCCCATTAAACATTGTACTTCATGGTTTGATTGAAATGATCACAAAGCATAAAGTGTGATCTGGTGCATATTGATCTAACTTTGTTGCAAAAATGATACAATTAGTTTAGTAAGCAATATTCGTGGACAAATGAAGGATTTCAAATTTTGAATTTTATTTTGTACAAATTTTAATATTAAACTTTCCTTTTCAAACCTGACGGTCTATGGGGCAAGTGAAGTAGAGTTCAATTGTTTCTGTGACCTCAGCATATGAAGAGATAGTGTGGTCAGTACTAAGCCCTGTCGCCTTTACTTTCCCTTACGCGAGTTAGGTACCCATCAGAGTTGGGTGGACTCAGGGACGGTCTACTGATTTGAACCCGGATTCGAACTCGAGACTTACGGGTTAGCAGTCCAGCTCTCTACAAATATTAACATAATGCTAATAATATCCAGATGTATTGCTTAGTTCTAGACAGGCCACATAACTTTAAAGGCCTATATATTTTCTCTCGTAAAAAAGAAAATACCATCTACTAACTTTTTAGCATGTTGGCGTTATCCCTATTCCCTACAGACCAGCTAATAAGGATAGAAAAAGGAGTATATCTATTTATCCGACCTGGGGAAGAAACGGATAATGAAGACTGTTTTAACATACACCTTCTTAAGTCAGGTCCGAATAGATCAGAGTAGATTCATGGAATTCCAAAAACAAAGACTTTCGGATTATTGATCGCTTGCACATATTACCAGTATAAAATAAAATTAAAAAAGCAGTCACATAAATAACATCGTTTCAATCCGGTCCCCATTAGTCAGAGGCGTAGCGAGTGGGGGGGGGGGGGCAGGGGGTACATATGTTCCCGGGCGCCGACCCTAGGGGGCACAAAAATGGGTTTGAAAAAAAATTAAAAGCTTATTTTAACTGCAGTTTTGAATTATAAATATAAACAAGTTAATAAAAAGTCTAGTGACAATTTAAGCGCAATTTCCTTATGTTATCCATAACAATTTTAAATCGAGATAAATCATATATTCAGCAAATAAATAATGCAACACAAGTAGTTATAATAATTCAAAACAAAATAGAAAAAATATTTATTATTTAATAGGGTACAAAAATAACGTTTGAATTTGAATTAATAAGTAAAAAATAAAGACAACTATATTAACCTATATCAACGGAAATAGTTTTATTTTAACGAGTAGGCCTACACGATGCTCAGTTTAAAAAAGTAAAGTAGTAAATATCATCCTATAAATCTAAACTAATTTGTTCTTAATTATTTTTTTGTGACCGAACGAAAGGATATTTTTGAAAAACTTTCTTCGATAATATTGTTCTAAATTATGGCAGGAATCGATTGGTAAAGGTTTCAAGTCGCTAAGTAATTTTTTTGGCCCACAATCATCCTCGGAACTTGCTTAACATATTTGCTTTAGAACTAGTCCTCGATATTACTTCGTTGAGGAGGAGATACGACTTAAAGCTGCGGACACACATCCATACATCCATCCACCCATCCAGAAATGACGAATTATTAAACGCAATTGCTAGTATGGAAATTGCGCTAAAAATATGGGGGGGGGGGGGGGGTTTGCGCCAACGGAAAGGGTCGCTACGCTTCTGCCATACATTTACACAATTCTACGTTAGAGTATCTATGTTCGGGTAAATATTATGAAAAACTGTTCCCTATATTTCTGACTCATCCTGAGGTAGACAAAAATATTGACACTAGAGAGAACGGTCTCAGAGAGGTAGGAGGCACAGTAGCACACGAGGGCCACACCGAAATTTTTCCCTCCCAATCTCAAGTCGGGCACGAAACTGATGGCTGTCAGGATGGTAGATTGCGGGATGAGGCAGACGACGAACACGATGGAGATGGTAGACAGCATGATGACTGTCTTCTTCTCTCTGCTGGAGATGTGTGTCTCTGTCTTGACATGTGACATGGATTGTCTCCATCTCGCTTGGTGTTTTAGTTTGATCGTAATTATTCCTGTACTCATTAGTATAATGAAGAAAGTTGTGTACGGCGCCATGAGATCGTTAATATAATACGAGATATTGAAGACAATGTATGGGTTTTGGCGATACATGATGTGTATGGTGGATGTATTGGAAGAAGCGGAAAACGACTTGCCTAGGTAGACCGTGTAATATAGAGGAAACAGATCCAACGTTGTTATAGCAAAAATTAAAATCACGGTGACGATGACAGTTTTGTTGGTGAAGATGCGTTTAACTTTTAAAGGATTGACCACACAGACGCATCTTTTCTAAAGACGCGAAGGCGGTGATAAACCCACAGACCCTGATGAAATAGTTGTGGGGGTAGAACGCTATGATCGTGCTCAGATCTAAGGGGTTAAGGTCAAGGTCGCCGTTCAGAATCCAGGGGTTCATGAGCAGGTAGAAGACCTGGAGCGTCACCAGCGCCCCTGTGTCGCTGACGGCGAGTGCCGTGAGGGTGATGTTGACGCTATCGCCGTAGCCCTGCTTGTAGAAGACCAGGATGTTGATGACGTTGCCTAGGATACCGAACAGCCCGGCGGCGCCACAGACGAAAAGCTGGACCGTCAGGACATGTTCCACGATGTGGGGGTCCAGCAGGTTGGTGGTCTGGGAGCTCTGGGGTGGGAACGTTGTGTTGCGACTCAT